TAAGGAAGGAAGAAGTCAATCAGTCCATTTTTCATTAAAACCTGATCCTGCATGACGTCCTTCACACACGCAATTTTAGTCACCGCTTACAACACACCTGGAAGAAACAACATGCCATGTATCCCCGGCGAGAGGGCTTGTTTTACTTGCACACTGTCTGACACTTAGGAAGAACTTTCATCATCTGTCTAATTCCGTGATAGCTTCTTCACAGAGATTCAGCCTGATCTTCAGTAAAAAGTTCTCGCAGTAGGGCACTGAGTGATTAGAAGAGGCGGAAGACTGCTGCAGCGCCTGCATTTGCTGTCCCCTGGATCACAGTTGACGTTCCCACATTGACACCTATGGGAAATAAAGAACGCACTGGACTAAGAGTTCACGAGGAAGGGGCGATTGTTCTGTTCCTGCCTGACAGGCCTACCCAGACGTCCGAAACCTCGGGTCTCCCGTCAGCTGACGGTGCACTAGCGGTGGCGTGGCTCACAGGAAAACAGACCTCATGAGAGCTGGAGGGGGCAAATTAACCGAGCTATTGATTTATCGTATCAGTTGTCTTCCAGAAGGCAGATTTATGTTTCTTTCCATGCACTGAGATTTCGGCAGTGTGTAAGAAAGTTAATTGACAATAAAAGAGAGGTTTCGGCTTCCATACAGATTTACTGCCGCAGAAACCCTGGAGAGAAAGTCTCCTCTGGCCTGTAGGGCCTCTGAGTCGTCGTAAGTGACTGACGGGAGTGCGTTTGGTGCAATACAGCGCTTTACCTCAGCCAAAAGGCCAAGGTGCGGTTGTACAATAAGCAGAAATTCAAATGTTCTGAAAGCCAAAATGAGTTTGTCAGAATTCAACTCCTTCATTAAAATCACAGCACTCCAGTCTTGTGGCAGGACAGCATGCCGTTGCCTGTGCAAAGAAACACTTGTAAGGACTTAGAGATTTTCTAAGGTTCAAGGACCTGAAAGTCAACCTCACCTCTGAAACTTTTAACATGAGTTATCCATTAATTTCTATGTATTAAAATGTGTTCTGAAATGTTTACTGCATAATTTGAAGAAATTTTAGATCTTCAAAATATTTATGAAAAAAACTTGGTCTGAAGTCTTACGTTCTTGACACTCTAAATTGCCCTCACACCTTCCATATACATGACATTTCAGTATGCTTTTATATTTTTCGCTCTTCAAGCTCTGCTCTGGCTTTGCTGTGTCCACCTTGCCGTCTCTGTCTATATTGCACAGCTTCCTAAACTAAAAAGAAAGACATCAGCCAGCTGTGCCAGTCAAACTCCTCATGGTCCTCAAGGACAGAGAACTGCCTCTGTGGGTTTCCAAACCTTTAAATCTTTTAAAGACTGCATATGGCTGGTGGGTTTGAACCACTGACCTTAGGATTGGCAGCCCAGTGTGTAATCAACTAGTGCACTGTGGGTGCACTTCCCTTGGAAGTCCCTTAATAACTTACTGTTTTTCAAATATTTTTTTTGTCTAATCTACAATTTGTGGGTCAGAATTCTTCTCATATCTAAAACTAGGATGGTAAATTAGTATAATTTAATAGCTGAAAATATAGTGGAACAGCATATGTAAGAAACTAAACCAGATGCTGTCTGTCCAATACAATTTTCTGTCGGTGCCCCAAATAACCCAAGGAACGGGCCTAAAATCCGAGACACCAAGAAAAAAATGTTTTTGCTGTTGGGATGTGTAATACTCTCAGAAAAATATCATAGACTTTACCTTAATTTTAAAGTTAATTCTTTTTTTAACTTTAATCCACATGAGGACCTATGTCTGTAACATGTAAACACACATTTATGATTCCCCAGCAATAGCTATGTAACTAAATTTGAACATGGATCTATGACCATGAGCAAAGTAGCCAGTCCTAACTTTTTTTTCTTAGACCACAACATCTTTAATTTATTTATTTATTTGTTTGTTTATTTTAAATACTTTCATTGGGGGCTCTTACATCTCATCAAAATCCATACATTCATCCAGTGTGTCAAGCACATATGCCGCCATCATCATTTTCAAAGCATTCTCTTCCCACTCGAGCCCCTGATATCAGCTCCCCATTTCTTCCCCTCCCTTCCCTGCCTGCTCTCCCTCACAAACCCTTGTTAAGTTATAAATTATTACTTTCATATCTTACATCATCCTCCATTGCCTCTCCCCCACTTTTCCGTTATTCATCCCCCTGGGAGGGGGTTCTAGATTGATCCTTGTGATTGATTCTCTCCTTTCTCCCCCAACCCTCCCCTAATCCTCCTGGTATCTCTACTCTCCTTGTTGGCCCTGAGGGGTTTATCTATCATGGATTCCCTTTGTTGTAGGCTCTCGTCTGTAGCAGGGTGCATGTTCTAGTCTAATCCGATTTGTAAAATAGGACTGAGGTCATGATAGTGGGGGGAAGGAAGCACCAAAGAACTAAAGGAAAGTTGTGTGTTCCATCATTGCTATACTGCACCCTGACTGGCTCATCTCTTCCTTGTGACCTCTCTGTGTGGGGATGTCCAATTGTCTACAGATGGGCATTGGGTCTCCACTCCGTGCCCCCCCCCCCATTCACCTTGGGTATGGTTTTGTTCTGGGTCTTAGGTCCCATTGCTCTTAAATGGCATGCTTACAAGATTGTAACTATAGGAAG